ATTCCCAATTTACATGGTTATTGAGATACTTAAAACTGCTTTCCCCACTTTTCTACAAAACCTGATTACTTGTGGCCACATAGGGATTCAGCCAATTGTGCCTACTTTTTAGTTGAATTTCTACATATAAAAATGTGTTTACCATGGTGTACAAATGAACTTTGGGAGCTCATTCAATATGGAGGGAACCTCTCTCAGCCTGGACACATGGGGGAAGGCCTAGGCCCTGCCCTAGATGAAGTGACAGACTCTGGAGATCCTCCTTGGAGGACCTCACCCTCCTTGGGGAATAGTGTGGGGATTGGGTGGGGGTTGGTAGAGGGGCAAGGGAGGAGGGGTGGGAGAGGGAGCTGGGATCAACATGTGAAGAAAGCATGTTTCTAATTTAAATAAAAATATATTGAGAAAAAATGTGCTGCAATGGTGTCCTATAATGAACTAGAAGGCCAAGGAATCCACTAGTAGAGGAAGCTGGTGGAAAGTATTTCTGCTCTGAAAAGTTGCCAAGCAACTGATCATTATTGAATTCAACCTTTGTATTGGAAGCCTGAGAGGATGAAACCAAATTGTTAAAGTGATGTAATTCTATTTTCCTTTCATTCTGTAATGACAATAATGAAAATTGCTATCTAATATACTGGGTACTGAGGCAATTTACAGTGCATTGTCATTAAACTCTCACAAAAACTACATGAGGCAGAAATCATCTTCATTTAATGAATGAGAAAAGTGAGGCAGAAAGTAGTATGCCTTCAGGGTCATTCTGGAGTGATAGGTAATAGACAGGATTCGGGGACAGGGCTGATGCTACAGAGAAGCTAGATTATTTTTGTAAACAGTATTTTCTTTTGCAAATAATCTGAAATTATTTGTTTTTATTTTTAATAAAATGAAACCACTTTTATCCTGGTTTAAAGTGATAAGCCACACTGTTGTTCCTTACCCACAATACAGAAAGCTTTTTTAAAAAGCTGCCATGGCCATGTCTATATAAATACATATTCAGTGTCTTATGAGTGACACAAAACAACATATAAGCTAAGACATAAAATTAGGCCTATTTCTGCTTGCTTGAAATAAAATTCCCAAGTTTGGAAGTACTAATGAAGCGTTTTGAAAAGATTTTCATATGGTTTGACAATTACTTTTTAATCATACATTGCTGTCTATTATCACCGGTAGGGTCAACAAGCATCCATGGAATAGTTAATTTCAGCTATTACATAATAGCTGGGCAAATGACTTAATTTCTCTGTATTTTAGATGTTTTTCATGTACAAACAGACATTTTATTTGATTTTATTTGTATAAACCTCATGCTGTTGTTGGAAAGCTTAAATGGGACCTTTAAATACACAAAATAGTACCGAACGTAAATAAAAGCTCAATAGGTATTGCTATTTTTTAGACAAGCTGCCCCTGACCATCCTTACCTGCATGTATGATTGTTTATCTGAATACCTGTCCTTTTAATTCGTTCATTTAAAACTAGTTAGAAGATAATGTAAGATGAGGATATTGGCTAAGTAATAATGCTTTATAGCACACCACTAGAATATTTCCAATTATCTGTCTTTAAATATGTGCTTGATTATCATTGTCTGTGGTGATTAACTATTGTAAATATAATAGGATCTACAATCAGCTAAGAGACGAAGCACTGAGTCCATTTGTAAGGAATGATCGTGATTAGGTTAAGTGGGGTGGGAAGACCCACCCTAAATGTGGTGGCATTTCATGGGCTAGGATAGCAGAATAAAGGGAAAGAAGACAGAGAGCTGAGTACCAGCATGAATCTGCTTTCTGACTATGGATGCAATGTGACCAGCTGTCTCAAGTTTCTGCCATAATGACTTAGACTACATTCTCTGTGAGCCAAAATGTTGCTTCTTTCAGATATTTTGTTGCAGCAAGGAGAAAAGAAAGCAACATGATATTTTTCCCTCATCATGGAGGAGGGGGCAGTGAGGGGATGGGGGGAGAGGAGGGAGGGAGAACTGGGATTGAAATGTAAAAAATAGATTAATACAAATACAAAGGTGACCAAAAAAAAAGGGCTCAATATTTTCATATATCCATATATGAAACTTAATATACAAATATGCTAAGGCATATTCAACAGTACTATGGACTCTGTCATGTCTCTTAAGACCCTCAAAATCCTACTGAAACTTTCTAATATACTGCTTTCCCTCTTTAGTACTCACAGCCCTCATGCCTCAACCTCCAATGTCATCCCATTCAGCCTACAGTATAACATTCTTAATTGTAAACATTCCTTGAGTAAAGAGGCAATGTAGAAAAGTACTAGGAAAGCAATGGTGCCTCAGTTTACATACTTGAAAATCAGAGTATTTGCAACTAATAACTAAATTGAATATTCTAAGTGTAAGGGCTTATATAGTACATCTGAGGTACCATACAAGAGCCATTAAGTTAAACTACTATCCTTTGTTGAAAAACATGAATGTGAACCTTTTGTACTTTGCTTGTTTGTAATATATTCCAGGACAGAGAATTTCCTTCCCCCATAGCATTATAATTGGTCTGTTCATGTTGTGGGACTCCATGAGGAGTCAAATCAAGAAGTTTTCATTGATTACTTAGCAAAGTATGAGGTACTCTATATTGGAAGCTTTGAGGTTTCAGTGTAAAGATTTATTGAAATACTCAGGATCTCAGGCCTAGGTATTTGAGGAGCACTAGATATTTGGTTATGACAGGCATTTAGAAATCCTGGATGACTACTTAACATTTAAAATTAAACAGAAACATCATGTTTGTTTGCTTGACTTCCCAGGATTCAGTTCCACAGCTAACACGTTATACACGTTTTTCTACTTACCTGAAACAACTTTGCTATCTTCAAATGATTCTTACCTTTGGGTTATGCCTACCTTACAGGTAGAATTTAAATTTTATTGACCCTTTTATCCCTAGTGCCTGGGTGATTTTATGCATATATACAGCAAATGTTAGCTGAGTAAGACTAAATAAATAAATTAGTTTTGGGGAAAATTAAGGAAACGAATTTCATATAACTTATAGGTACATTTAGTCAATTAAGATCTGACTTTGAAAGAGTAAATCGTATTACTATGAGGTATGATTATATTTTTGATGTTCAATAATTAAAAAGAGAACTTTGTTGACTGTTTTCTCTTGCTTAAACATGCACACATTTATTTTCCTCTCAGTTACATTTATTTTCCTCTCAGAAATACCAGGAATCTATAGACTGTATACATTTTCTAAGGTTTAAGGTGTTTTATTTTCCTGGGGGAGAGATGTTTATGGAACATGACAGAACCAGACCCTTTAAAATGTAGTGTGAAATTAGTAACAATCTGTAGTTATTCAAGTAAGAACCCTGTGGCCCCAGTAAATATGTCACTGGGACTATATTTGATGATAATTTCCCCTTCTATAAAGCATTTATCCATTTTTTATGTGTAGAAAAATCTAGTAAGTAAGAACACAAGAGCAGTTGTACTACATGGCCTACCTAATAATTGCTGGTCAGTAAGTACTTGGGAAATAAATAAAACTTTTATATTATCTCATGGATCAGAATAAGGAGGCATAAAAAATGACACATTTCTTTACCTACGATATAACAGTACAGAAAACAGTTTCAAATACCTCCAGTATGTGACAGTTTGATGTAAGTGCAACCATAATAGAACAATTAAGAAGTTATGTTAAAAATACAAACACTTGATAAAGAAGTACATGCACAGAGATGAACACAAATGTATATAAGTGTTCACCTATGTGTGCGTGCATGCGTGTAGGGGTTTGTGTATGTGTCATGGTACATGTATGGATGTACCATGAGGTACCAGGTACCACAGACTAGCTTCTGAGAGTTGTTCTACTTTTTCGGTGGGTTCCAGGGCCCAAACTCAGATTGTCAGTCTTGCATAGCAAGCACTTTTAACCTGTGGAGCCACGATACAGAGCTTGGTTTCAATTTGGAAGGTTAATTTTTGGCAAAACTTTACATATCTAGCCATTAGTGTTAAGGAAATTAAGCACCAGTAAGAAGAAATGAATGCTCTTCTGGGAACAAAGGATGGATCCAGGTTGAATTAATCAGGAAGGATTTTGTTTTTTCCCAAAGTGTATATTCCTCACTCTAAAGGATCAATTTGAAACTGGACAGGGAAAAAGATAGACTTCCAATTAAATCCACTCATTTTATATTTTAAGTACCTTAACAAGCAAATGTTACTCAGCTAACATTTGCTGTATCTATTTGAACTATTTATGACTGTGTGACCTTCTTAGTTATACTATTAAAAAATCCTAACACAGTAATTCTAGGTTAATCTATGCCCTAAATAAGGTTTGTCCTTTCTAGTTATTTTTTTCTCTACTCAAAAATCAACCATATAGCTTCTTAAAAGAATATAATACCTAATACTATATTTTCTCCAGTAAAGCCTATCTAAAGGGTTCTTTAAAAATCCTTCAGGATTAAGAAAATGATTTTATTTAAAAGAAATCATGCTGGTTATGAGTATTCATACTTATAAGTATTTATACTTGACGGATTTTAATTTTTTCATCTATCATAGAAGAAATATATGTGATTCTTTTTTTTTCCGAGACAGGGTTTCTCTGTGGCTTTGGAGACTGTCCTGGAACTCGCTTGGTAGTCCAGGCTGGTCTCGAACTTACAGAGATCCACCTGCCTCTGCCTCCAGAGTGCTGGGATTAAAGGCGTGCGCCACCACCGCCTGGCTGAAATATATGTGATTCTAAGATTTTCACATGCTATTCTGAGTTAAAATCTTTAGTAGTTTTTGGAAAATCTTGAAATTTTTCTAATATCATGTCTTAAATTTTGACAGTCTACCTGGAAGTACATGATGACACTGATGAATTTTAAATATTTCAGAGTAATCCAGTAGTCTCACAACTCCAAATGTCTTAAAGGTAATCAAGAAACTCAGGGAGGATATGTATTCTTAATTAAATAAGGGAAGAACTCTTACCATAGGTTGGTGTGCTTTCTCGTCTTCCTTGACTACTTGATCTTCCCTTTTCATATTCATAGCAATACAAGACAGTATCTTCTTCCACAATGTTAAATCTCTTTCGGTATTCCTGATCCAGAAATGAGTTTGGGGATTCAGATCCCTTATGAACTGGCTTGCCCACCATATGTCCTCTGAGGTCTTCACAAGGAAGGTTTCCCTTTTCATCCCTAAAGCAAGTTAAAGGTAGAGGAGATGGGTGTAGCATTAGGGCCATACAAAATTAGAGGGGCCTTAAAACAAACAATAGCATTCCCTTTCAATATATATCTTCAGATCTTTATGGGATTTCTTTGAGAACTATAGGGTTAGTTAAAATTATTCATATTTTGTTTAAAATAATAGTGAGGCTGAACAACTTTCCTCAATATCATATAGATAATAAAGGACAGCTAGAAATACACCATAGGTATTCGAACTTCTGCTTTAGTCCATTTTCACTATATGTAATGTCATAGGAAGAAAAATAATTTCAGCACATAAATTTATTTTAGTTAAAGGATAGATACTAGGTGTAATGATAACAATGTAACCATGTTTCTTTCCTGTCTTTTTATCTTAATGATTTTTGATAGAATTTGTGTTCCTGAAGAACACAGTTATTCATGATTCAATCACCAATATAAAGGGAAACTATGGTCTTATGAATAATATTAGCACCACATAAATCAGTATTATAAGAAGTTCAAACAGCAAGCTATTAATAAAAATGCATTTTAATGTTAATGATTACTATAAATATTAAAACTATATATTTCCTGAGAGTAAAAGGATCTACCTATGGGACTCATTTAGAAAGACTACATAAAAATTACACATTAGCAATGTTTCTTATGGAGGGAGGATGGAAAATAGGTAAAATGGAATTTAAGAATGAGATTTGGGGAATAGCAAATCCACTTTTTCATCTGTAATAATTTAAGGAGAAATTTTCTTAACATTTTATGGGATTCCTAAATCCTATTGTTGTTGTCTAAAAATATTTCTTTTAAGGTATTATTTTATTTTTGTATGTTGTTATAATTTAATTTTTATTGAAAATTTCATGTGTGTTCAATGCATTTTAATCACATCCATCCCTCACTACATACTTTCCTGCTCCAACCTCTCCTAGGCTTCCACATATTATCCCCCCATTCATATCTCTTCATTTTTCCCCATTTATATGCTGTGAAACTTTTAATGAGCACTGCTCAGTTTCTTTGTGAGAATGTCTAATTTGGGTTTAATGTTTTCCGCATGAGTGGTCTGAGGTGCAAGGTCATAGTTTTTAGAAATTAACAGATGACTAAGCTTGTAATGAAAGGTCCCTCCTAGGATTACTTAAACACATTATCTATCTTATGAGGTGTTTCCCTATGTATGTGAGAAGCTTTTTGTTAGAAACTATTTGTATTCTAGAACATGACATGAATGGAATGCTATGTTTTGTCCTGTAGTGAATCACTGTGTTTCATTGATTATAGGTGTAACTTGTTCCTCTAAAGGGTACCATAAATAGGTGCTATCGAACAAGAAAACATTAATTTTACATCAAAACAAGGCTAACGTCTTAAAAACTTATAAAATAAGCCATATTTTAATTAGCTTTTATTACACCATATAAAATAGTGATGAATTTATAAAATATGTTAATTTAAGAATTATGAGTTTCAGTCTACCAGAAATCTGTATTTCTGTATCTTTATTAAAATGCTTAGATGTTGAAATGCAGAGAACTGCCATCTAAGTATTTTAAATATATAGAAAGTAATAAATAATATTCTCAAATCTGACTCAAACATAAAGCTGTCATATAATTTATTTTCTTACCAGGCAAAACTACCATTCATATAATCATTTACTTTTATGCTTCCTAAAACAAATGCATTGAATTATAAATATATAATTGGTTCTTAGGAAACATAAAGAATACAATATATATATATATATATATATATCTTAGCACAAATTTCAATGTTTGTTAGCTGAAAACATTTCTTGAACTAATTGCCTGGTATTTCTTGTTACTGTTAAGCTCTCTATTGAAAAGAAACTGACATCGCACTTAGCTTGGAAACAGTTGTAGTGAATTCATAACACAGGAGAAAGGTTATGTTTATCCGTAAATTTGCACATTTCTCTATGAGGCCTGTGACATGAATACTAATGCAGCTTGTACCAGAAGGTAATTCAGACCTATTGATTTTCTATGTCATATTTATAAAGACATTTTCTGTGGCAGAAAATTACAAGAGATGGCTTTTCCTATAATATAGTGTTATGGAGAAGCAGTCTTTTATCAACAGGTCGGGTTTATTAAACATGTCTATATGGAATATACTTAATAATGTTAAATTCAGAAATGTACCAAGAAAACAAAAATTTCCAGTGGAATGAAGTAACAATATATACACATATGTATGTATAATTAAATATATTAATGTGTGCACATGTCTGCATTTATAATATGAGTTTCTGAAGAACTTGATGTATTCATTGTAATATAAACATTTTCATTTTTCTTAAATTTATACGTGCATATACAAATATAATAAATGTATGCCTAAGCTCCAGATTTAACTATTCAGATTAAAGGTCATTACTCTGGTAAATATTCTTTATACTTAATGAGACATAGTAGAGTTAATAAGACAAATTAGTCATTATAGCTCATAATTGCTTAAGGACCCAAAAATATTTATTTACAACATAAGGAAAGAAGTTTAGTTAAATACAAAGTGAAACCTGTATTATGTTTATATACTATCAAGATTCTTATCCTATAAACGATGCCCTTGCAATATTCATTTAGTGAGCGACTAAAATGTGAGATAGTAAATACAACTTCCCACTTTTATTTAAGAATGTATAAATATTATCTATAAACTCTATCCATTTAAAAACATGAAATTTGTACATGACACTGACATGTTATTGAAGCTTCACAGGCAAAAATACTTCCCTATTATTTACCTTGTAAAATAATTTGGTTATTTAATATTACTCTCCTATCATGTGAGGTATTAATGTAAGATACTGTCCAATGCATACTTAATAAAATATGGTAGTTATCATTATTAACAAAAGTGCATTTGCTATAACTAAAAGTGCTTTCTAGAATGTATTTAGAATTCCTGAGAAAAACATTCAAAGTGTTCTTTAAGAATTGACTATATATTTTAGAAGCCTTTATCTAGAAGCTCCCCAGAATAACACCATTGGTAGTTTATACCTGGGAATATATGGTTCTGCAGGAGGAGGGGGAATGTAGAGATCCTGGAGGGCAGAACTGTCTCTTTTGGTGGGTGTACTGATGGTGCTGGAGGGCGTGGCAACGCTGCTTGTGGGACTTCTAGGTATAAGAGGCTGGTTAAAATGAAAAAGAAAATACATACGCACACAAACAACACAAAACAACAACAATGACACATAGTTACCATTTAAAAATGATCTGTTTATACAAGTTTTGATCTTGGCTGAAATCCAGAAAAATGTTATTTACCATATGGATATTTCCCCCACCCGAAGAAATAATACATACAACAGTTTTTCATGCAGTTCCCAACTCACCTTTTCAATAGTTTAATCATCCAAAAGCTATTTATAAAGTAAAAATACCATTCAATGATTCATGAGAAGACTCATGTCACTCACAAAAAGAAATGTATTTAAATGAACTTTGCCAGAATTGCACTTTTGAAAGCTAATATAAAAGTAATTCTTAAAAGAATTAGTTTTTCACATCCTGATTGACATTTGACAAACTATAGTATTACGTTAGTAAGAATGTCATGAATACTCAGAGAAGATGAAAATGGCTATCAACACAGAAGAGAATTTTCTAGGAAAGTGTACTCCCTCTCAACATAAATACACATAGCTAGCTGTCTGTTCAGAGCCATTTTATATCACATCTGCAAAAGCATGATGAATAAGGTGACACAATCTCTTCATCTTTCAAAGGTACATATATTACTCGTTATTTAACACTCATCCTTGGTTGCATGCCTAATGATCTCTTGGATTTAAGTACTGAGTAGCAAGCTGTCTGATAAAGATACTGTATAAACTTAATTAATGATATATCAGTCTATGAGCATTCCTAATTCTAAAATTCACAGTATTTGAAAATAATTTTGTGGATTGAAAAATGATCCTAAATTGAAACTCAAATTTACAAATATCTATATTTATCTTACAGATATTCCTGATTAAGTATGCATTGTGTTAACATTAAAATAAATATCTCAATTCAGTCTCAAACATAAAGATAATGACCACAATATGAATTGCATCTGCATGACAAAATGGTGCTATTTTAGCCAATATGAAACACATTTGGCATATCTAGATGATAGACTGACAAGTCTATTAGTCTAACATACATTGTTGGATAACCAAATAAATGCATATTACAACTATTTTGCACTGTAACATTTCTTTCATACAGAAAACCCAAAATTGTTTGAAAGCCAGGCACAAATACAATGGAAATTGCAATGTAGGTCACTGGGATAAGCTATACAATTTGCAACTTATTTAAAGATTTTTGACCTTCCTCGTTACACAGCACACCTCAATAGCTTGATATCACACTTCCTCACAAAATGACAGTTAAGTTTAAATGTATGTGAAATCAAAATTAAAGAAAGACAGTAAAAAGGAATGATAATGTATGAAATCTTAATCTTCTCTCATATATGGCTTAAAATTGTCAGAAACTTTACATATCAATTAAATAATTTTAATACATTATGGCAATATGCAATAAAGACTTCCCTGTCTAACAATATAATTCCTTTGGAATAAAATCCAGTTAATCTATTTCTGTCCTATTGAAACAAAATACGTGGCAATGAGATACTCAGAGATATAGATGAGTAGAAGAGTCATATGTACTGATGATGGATGCCATGAAGTCCAAGGATATTAAACAAATGAATTCTTTGTAAGGCTTTGTTTCATGCCTCTGTAATATTTGAATGTAATATTCAGTGATACACACACATGCACACACAATCTCACTCATATTTACTGCAACATGACTGCTTATAGATCTTTTATTTTGTTGTTATATTTTAGGTATAAATACAGATAGCCCTAATAGACAAGCAGTGAAAGAAAAGCTTACTGCACAGCACATTAATTTTCAATACTTTAAAATCAATTTACTATGAAAGAAAAACTAATATTTAGTACTCCTTTTAATGCACTAGTATCGTCTTTTAACTTTAAAGTATCCCAGTAGTATAAGTGAACTTAAACCACTTTCTAATAACGTAAGCTTTCAATAAAAAGCAATTTAACATAAATTTTCATTGTTTTCCCCTCTATTTTAATGTTTCTAATTATAGTTTGAAGATGTCTCTCCATTCCTTTGGTGATCTGTAGCTTTTACTTGTTTGCTTAGTACCTATTTTCTTCTTCCCCTCCCCCCAAAAAAACAAAGAAAAAAGGATTTACAGTTAAGTTTTACAAGGATATTTAAATATGCCTTAAATATGAGGCAAAGACTAGAAGAATATTTATATTGCATAATTTCCCTTCTAGGAGATTTAAATATTAGCAAGGCCAACGTCCTCCAAATTTCTATATCTCTACATTTCAACAAGGAGTTGCTATTAATGGCATCAGTAATTGTCAGTCACTATATTGGAAAATTAATATAAGAAAAACATAAAATGTTCAAATAGATGTCAGGTTTGATTATGTTACCCTGGTCCAATTAATTGAACTGCTTTAAAAATCCAACTTATTTTTACAGAACAATTGAGAAATTAGTCAATTGTGCTGCTGAGTTCAATTGACCATTTTACTGATGGTAAGTCAGAGGAAGTATTTTAATGGATTTATTTTGTGGGTGTCATCCGGCTTATCAGCATGCTCTATATCAATTAAATCTCATATAGTAAATTATTCAAATACAGGCAGTTATTGTTTTGTACTATTTGAACTATTATCACCAAGCTAAACAGAAAGAAAATATCAATTTTGAGAATCATGTTAAAAAAATCAACTTTGGCAATGGAAAAGTAAACTATGTCCTAACTTTAAAACATTGTTATCAAGTATTGAAATAGCATAAAATTAAATGACTGAATGAATTCTGACATCATTAAGGAAATTTAGGAAGACAACAGCAATGTAAAAGTATAGAATAAATGAAGAAATCAAGATGAAATTGATTATTGGGAAATTCCTAATTTTAACAAGCTGTATGCAAACAAAACAAAACAAAAGCAAAAACAAAAGAAACCCCATCTAATGCTAGTGTGAAAATACATGGAAAATGACAAACCCCATCTAACGCTAGTGTGAAAATACATGGAAAATGACAAACCCCATCTAACGCTAGTGTGAAAATACATGGAAAATGGCAAACCCCACCTAACGCTAGTGTGAAAATACATGGAAAATGACAAACTTAGTGTCCCTCAATTAAAACCTAAGGATCTTTTGGATTAAATTCAAATTTAAAAAGTATACTATCTGACTAAAACTTCCAAGGAAGAAAATATACTAAAACTAAACTATAGCTTCTCTTACATTAAAAACATTTACTGTAAATCATTTATTTGTAACATAGGATCATTGTAACAGTTAAAATTGTACTAGTAAGGATTTGCATTTTCAGCAAAAAGGAGTGATGATTTTTTTCCTTCACAACTTTAATATGTTTGGGTTAACACGTATGAGAAAAAACTACTATCAGCAATTAAGGGTATTGTTTTAAGACTGCATATTGTCGTAAAGTTTCAATATAACACGGTACTATGCTATGAAATTAAGTGTGATTTAGATCCATTTTGAATTCCCTTCCAAATAATTTTATTTAGTAGGACCTTGTCATAACATCCAATATGGTTCTTTCAACATAAAGCTCTTCTTCAACAAATTGGACGGCATTCTGTCGGAGAAGACTGTTTGTGTGTGTATATTTATGTGTGTATGTGTGTGCATGCAGGTGTGCACTTTACTCTTGTAAATCAAGTCTGGTAAATTATTTCAGACACTGTCATTTGTCTTTTCAATTTTGTATGCATCTCTTTAAATGTACATTTAGAAGCTTAATGAATACTTACTATTGTCATCAGGACTCGGAAATCTACTTAGAACTTATATAGGCCTTTTCAGCATCAGTGTAAACTGTATAAATATCTTAAAGACATTTTCTAAAACGTAATATGGTACAAATCTTTCCCTGAAGTATGAGTGAAAACTTCAGCAATAACATCTTACTGATCAGTTTACACATTGATAGAGGGTTGTAATTTTCAAAGAAAACTTTTAGCTTTTACAAGAGATAAGTGGATCATTACTTTAAATCATTTGATGGACCAAATCTTTTCTTCTTTTTGTCCCCCAATACTAATTTCAAAATAGCACATCTGAGGAGTACTGACATATCTATTATCTATATCTATATATATACATATATCAGTATATGTGAAATTTCTATGGCAAAGATTATAAAAAAGAATGTCCACACTTAAGCAACTCAATTTGAATTTTCAGTTTCACTTGAAATATTTTATATTTTGAAATCTTTGGCAAGCATATCTTAATTTAGTTGTCCCTCAGTAAATGATCCAAAGAAGTTAGAGACATAACAGTCTTCAATGAAGCTAGTGACATAGAGGCAGCCCCAATATTAAAAATGATAAATACTGTAATAGTACTTAGTTCCAAAATTTGCTTATGTCAAATTCACATAAAAACTTGTTTTTCTCTTTTAGGGTTAAAAATGTCAACAGAGATACCAATGATTACAGTAAGTATATAACCTAGCCATTCATATTATTTATTCTTATAAATAATCACAGACTCCAGCTGATCACATGACCTCAATTTTCTGGCACAGGACAGTCTTTAATTCCTTACATAGTTTAGGCACATTCTTATTACATCCCCAGTACTGCTATCATTTAGTACCAGAATATTGCTTTATATTAACTACTATTTCCTTGATCATTTTAACAAATGCTCCAGAGAAAATGTATTCTGGGTTTGAAAACAGAAATTTGTATACAGTCTTGTACAGTTCATGACACATAGAGAATGCTAGATATAATTTTAAAAAGTAAAGCATACATTTTTATCTGGCCAATATTTTTCTGAGTGATAAGTTATTTGAACAGATCTTAAGCAAAATAATTGAATGTGTTTAAAAGTTCTCAGTTTCTCTGCTTCTACTAGAATACAATTTTATAAATATAAAACATTGTGTTTTTTATAAACATGTCTATTTTATGTTGTTCTTACTATACTATAAATACAACAATGTTTTAAGGCAATAGATATAAACAGGAGACCTTAGATACTTGATTTTAAATAACACAGATATATGGGCATAAAATATGTATGTTATTATACAATATAAAATATAGCTTTGTAGTCATATTATAAAACAGCATTTTTCCACCAAATCATTTGTATACTGTACTGATGATAAAGCTAGTATAGGTAATTTTGTGCTGTTAAATCTTATGTGCATAATTAAAAGGCAATACTAAAATTGAAGTTAAGTGTTCCAAAATATAATTATCAGTATTCTAGGATATTAACTGAAGAAACTACATTGGAATTTGAGGTTTTAATTGAAATACTTTACATTTTAAAATCTCTGAAAAGCATAGCTTAACTTAATTGCCAACTATTTAACAATAGCTAACGTCATAACATGGGTTATTATTGATAGTCAGTGTTATAACAGTAAAAGCATTTGGCAGAAACCCACAAATGTTAGATTCTTTGAGTGTTTAAACAGTAATGAACTATAAGTGATGTCATAGCTGCTTATAGTTATTTTCTAATTTGAGCATGTAAAACACAGAAATACTACTGTTGTCTAACCAGAACAATTACATTTTTAGTTAAAATTATTTTCTAGTATTATACCTCATATAAAATATTTTTTCACTCTCAGAATCATACAAACTTAATTTCACTGATGCTTGTTTAATAACATCAACTAGCATCTTGGATATTGAAATAAATTTTATTGCTACTTCTGTGACTCTTACACAATTACTTTAACCATTTATATCTGTATGTACTTTAAATTTAATGTGATCAACATTCTCTAGTTGTTAAATCAATTGATATTCAAAATTGCTGTTGACTATTATCTTTCTATTCAAAGTCCTTTAAATATCCTGTAAATTGCCATCAAGGCTAATTAACCATAAAATTTAAGTACAAAATCACAAACCAACACTAAAAACTGTGGCATTAAGATATTAGATTTATGGAGTAGAAAACAGTTTAGGAACATATTGCTATTCATATAGCTTAATGTCAATTTTCATAAAATGTCTTGAACAATATCTAAATCAGTTTTTTGAATACTAGCATTGATTGAGCTGAGATGTTTTTCTCCACCAAAAGCTGGGTTCTTCAACAGTTTTAAAAATCCATTGGTTCCAAGGGATGATTTAAGGAGATTTCTTGGCAGTGTCCGGCTAACCCTTCAATACATCTCTTGTAAGAAGAAAATGATTGCCCACATGTTCATGTTGCAATGCATCCTAGTTTACTACGGCAGACTTCTAAACATATACATGTCATCTATCTAGCACTCCCTGGAATTTATTTCACTGCTAGAAGAATGTGACTATATGCAATCACCATGCTTACCACATCCTGGAAATTAGCAGAGTGCCACTAAGATGATTTGAAAGCAGCTCTCAGAAGGCAAGATTTCCCTTGTTTACCATCTTAGAATGAAAGATTGTATCTCAAAGGTAGACATCTCTGTTTTTTATGAAAGTATACAGATGACAACAGAATTCAATTTTTCAGATGTAATTAAATTTGGTCATTGTAGCTAATTAAGGGATCTTTATGTCCTTCAGTTCTATCATCAAATGTTTGAGAAAATAGTATTGTATCAAAAGAGCTGCCAAATTTCATGAAATGTGCTGATGAAATTTCTCTGTGAGCATGAAGTTGAATTGTATGCTTTTGCTTATTTGGATATGATTTCCAAAGAAATTCCAATTCAAAATCTGCCATTGCAGTTAATTAATATTTAATGGCCCTATTTTAAACAGTTTAGAAATAAATATCTTAGGATACATGATATTTCATTTGTGTAAATACATTACAGTATTTGTTTAAAATCATTGGTTTGAAAAAGATATATGCACTAAATTTGGCCTACATGTTAAATCAATTACAATATTTATTTGAAAAAAATTAGTAAGTTAAGCCTGGTATTAAAAATTGAAATAGACCTGCTGGTTAAATAAATTCCATTGTTTCTTTGCATAGCTTTTAATTAAACTAATTCCTACTAGATTACTGGTACACTTGACAAAAACAACAAACATAATTCAAACTAAGATTTCATATAGATTTATATTTAAATGAATTAATATGCATTCAGGTCTCAGCCAATTTGTATAGACACAAGAATTAAGAAAACAGTTAAAAGCCACTTGTGTCTACATAGAGGACTGTTACTGCATTAGTTTTTATGGTTCACATCTGAAGCTGGTTCTTAGGAACTAGGAAAAAAATACCTTATACAATGGCATGAAGTAATCCATAATTGCCATCAAACCTCATCTTATTATCTGACTTTTCCTCTCTGCGATAGTCTGCATTCAAATTCTAGATTTTGTAATTGTAGGAATTTCCACTTTTTCTTTTTCTCAAATCTGTATTCTATAAAAATTCTAATCAGGTAATTTCCAAGAATCCTCAAATTGTATTGATTTAAGTACAGACTAATGTCTTAAGATCAAGAAAGAACTCTATAATGGCATACTATCCAGTCCTCAAAATATGTCTTAGGATCATGTGGTGGTGGTGCTATTGTCAATTACAGAACAAATACATTCTTACTCATAAGAATTTGTTTTAGCACTGCTGGGAAGAATTTCATTAAAATGAATTCTTTCCCTTCTACTTTGTGAAAGTCATCGTTGAAGCTATTTTCAAAGATGTTAAAGGTAGTTTTGTTTTCCCTAACTGATGGTGAACTTGGGCAATATATTCAGTTAAATAGAAAATTTACAAATATATTGGTATACATACATGTACTTATTTAAATTATCTCCTCTAGATTTTATATTATGAAAAGGTAACCATAAAATATTAAGCACAATTTAGTAAGTAATGAGAACTGTATGTATAATCAATGATCTGATATTGCTTTTTTTATAGACATTTAAGAATGGGCCTAAAACAGTACCTTAAAATATGTTATAGTTATACTGTAAGCAATGATGGAATTTTAAAAAAGTCTGTGTCTTCTAACTTTAAAAAATTTCTTATATGAAATGGTAATTGCGGTAACATTCATTCTCCACTCCAGTTTATGCTACCAAGATAAGGATCTAACAATGAAATATGATTCGATTTTCTATATAGACTACTTAAACACATGGATCAACAAAACCTAGGATCTGTTTGGTGTTCAGGTCCCTTTATGAAGGTCTACAGAAGAATAATAAATTTATAGACATGTAAAGAGGACCACCTAAATACGTGAAAGTGTGGGGCTCTTGTTCAGTGTTTCCATGCTTTCAAACTTTGAAAAAAGGATTTTGGCATAGACATGTCAATAGAAAATTCCAGAGTAAAACAACAAAGTCAATAAAACAATTATTTTATGGAGAATTCTGATATGCTTATATATGACCAAACAAGGCAAATAGCGTCAGAACATTAACAAGCATTAGATATTTTCGTATAAATAAATATTACGAGCCATTGCATTTAGACATTTTTATGCAATTGATATTTATTCATTTGAAGAACAGAAGTTTCACATTAAAAATATAAGTGTTGTTAGCACTGGAAAATTTTATGTCTTTTAATATTATCTAAATGCCAACTTTGAAGCTGATAAGCAGTCAAGTTTTAAACAATGAAAAAATCATATTCATAAGATCCCTTTAATGGGGAACTTATTAGAAAAAAATCTTGTGGCTCATAAAGTGCACTATTAGAAAGATTACTTCTTACATAGCAGAGATAATAATGAAACATTTCTCCTAACATGAAAAATGGTCAGTATTCTAAATTAGATGGGCAACTATTTAAAAAAGAAAAAAATCAACTAGAATTCTACAAAAGGTAATAGTCTGCTACTTTAAAAACTGCAGATTTATGAACAAATTTAATGTTTAGGTATTATATACTGATTGAAATAAAATGTATTAATTTCTTGTCTTTGTACAATCACAATATTTTATATCTTTTTAATAAGTCATATACCGTATTGCCACCCAAGTTAATATTTCATAGTGAAGTATTATAATGAAGAAAACTGCAAAACTTCTAATGGAATACTCCCTGGTTTTGCTACCATAGAGGGTGGAGAAGTGAAAAATGAACCATAATGAGGAATACACTAATTAATTTTAATTGCTAATTTGAAAATTAGGTTTCTACTCTTTATAAATTACAAGTTTATTTCCTGATTTAAAGTAATTCTAAAAACTATCTGCTAGCTTCTTCCAGAAGTGTATGTGATTATAATGTACAAAATGTAAGATTATATCACAAAAATAAACCTCTCAATTTCTTTCCTCTCCATATTTTAGCATTAAATAACTTTTGGATTTTTATAATTATGCTTTAAGTTTTAAAAATTGAATTAGTGTTATTATTTGGGTTTTAGTTATTTTCTCAGATTGCATCACAATTAAGTCTATAAGGATAAGCGGTGAAGAGATAATTTCACAAACAAATTTTCAAAAGCATACAAGATTAATTCATATGCTGCTGAGATGAGGCACAAAAAAGAAGCATTACTGAGAATCTATGGCTAAAATGATGGTGTATGACTTATGATTAAGCTTCATTACCTGCAGAGCAAGGGGCTTCCATCTCATATTTTTCAGTAAAGCTGGTGCTGAGGTAAGCATGCTCTGAGGTCGCTTTTTCAAAGTTAAGATAACACCACTCGGGTCCTCTCGTAGTGCATTCACCAAATTTTTCAACTGCCACCCCACCTGGTAACCAGCAAAATCATTACAATAAAATTGAGGTACAGCACTCAAAGATTTAATGTTCTCCCCCTTTAATAAGATTAGTAAAAAAAGAAATCACATAATTGGAGTATCATCCTACCTATTTTCAGTATATATTCAAGAAAGAAGTTTTATATTTGAATTGATTAACCATATTATTGCATTAGAGTCCATATAATTATGAGACAACATAATGGACATTTACCATATCAAAGCGGAGACTAAAACATATCTTGCCATCAAAGTGATTTGGAATATAAAGAAATTATATTGCGGTTAATACTGCTTAGCTGCTAAGTTTAGGCCCAAGCTCTTCACAAGTACAATTTAAAAGTTCACATGCCAGAAAATAATGAGTTGGCAAATCCTTGAACTAACCGCACCACATGCTTTCTCATCACCATCTTTTAGAGATATGTGATTCCAAGTGTCTTTAAATTAAGACAGATATTGTGCTACTAATAGCAGGTACAAACACACCCAGGAAACATTCTGATGCAAAGGCAGCAGCATCAGTGAAATAAACCTTTATCATGTTATAAAGATAGATTTAAAAACGACATGGTAGTGTTAATTCAGTGTAGCATCTACTGGAAATGTGTTGCAAATAACCCTGTAAGTTTAATATATTGTCTGCTAAATTTAATGAAGCCATTTAATTTAAATATCAACTCAACACAATTATGTCCAATAGTAAATGATTTGAAAACTGGTTTAGTGAATAATCATGTTAAATTATTTCACTAATCATCTTTAAAAAATTTAAACATAGAACTTCTGTTAGTTTGCTTCAAAATGCATTAGTGATGCAGTATCAGTTACTTAAGGTCCCAGAACTGGCTAGTTAAAACTGGTAGTTTTAAAGAAACATTAAAATTAATTATTGTGTATTATTTGCTTTTAAATATATATTTCATATTAATATTAAAACAGAACCATTTATATGAAGTCTAATACAAATATACTGGGTCAAAAATTAAGTAGGATTGCAAAAATAATTCAGCAAATGTTCTAGATAGTGATGTAGTTACTTCTTAGGCATCCAAGGCAAATATAAAAGATGTATTGTGTATACTCTTCATCAAGTTTTTGCTTAGAAGATATTACTCAAGCTGGAAAGAATAAGCACTTCACCAAATGAAGCTAAGATCTTAAGAGACTATGAAGAATTAATCTCAAATGTATTCCTTGTAGTTTAATGGCAGATTTTTGATGTATTTATTAATCATTCTCTAACTGATAAATTCAACTACAGATGAACTGAGTGAAGACAAGAAACCACAACAACAAAACAAAGGTGATTCAGTACTCAAAGTCTTGAATATTTGGCTATGGAACAAAATGGTCACTATGATAAATAGGAGGGCAGTACTTTTGAAAAAAATTAATGCAGATCAACTTGTATTATGGAACCAGACAAATGCTTCCTACTTTCTGTAAGAGGGGATTATTATATAACTTACAGCAATTCTGATATCTGATATCCCTCTGATAGCTAAGTAATGTCCGGATAGCCACTTGTACAAGCTAAGAGGCAACATAAGTGATGTAAATACTCTTGCCCCCAAATGAAACCTAATGTAGAACTACAAATTTGAAGGAAGACAAATTACTCATACAAAATTTAAAAATAATTTATTAATGATAATCATGCCCAATTTAGTAAATCAATTAGGAATTAAACAAGCAATGAAGAACTTATCATTTTCAACAACTCATTACACATTTATTTGTTTATAGTTTCTTTTTATTTGATGCTGTAGAATCACTATGTATAGTTTAATACATTTATATACTTTTTTACATAGGGTCTTGCTACTATAGTTCTGACTGCCCTTAAATTTTTGACCTTTTGATAATATTCTTGCCTCTGCTTTCCATGTAGTTGGATTACAAGCATAAATGACCAAGGTTGGTTTAGTTGAAGACATTTAAAGTAGCATACTTTCCTGTGAAATGTACCGTTCAATTTATTTGTTCTTTTCTGTTATACTTTCTGTATACTTTTGTAAGTAAATAATTAAAAATAGAATTACTTGTCCACAAGAAAGTGGAATTGTTTCTGATAACAAAGTTAACTTGAATATACTTTAATTTTACCTGAGTATTATTTAATAGCCAAATATTTGAGCATATAATTTGACTATGTTTTAACCAATCTGCCTACTATCACTTAACATAATGTCATCAATATTTTCAACAAAAGCAAAAAATCTATATCAAGAGCTACATGGAGTATATGCTTGGCTTACAAATTATATTTTCATTATAATGAAAGCTAAGGCCAAATATGTAACACTCTACAATTGAGCCAATATTGTAAATTCTGTAAATATTTACTATGAGGGGATAAAGAATTATGTGTGGAACAAAATAAGTCTCACGGTGGTAAAAATACCTTATTTTGGTTAAAATAGATATATAGAAGGCAGAATGAAATATAACATCATTAGTGATGACTACATTAAGGGTCATTCTCTTTAAATTATAAATAAATTCTCTTTATTTCTTTAAATTTTACCAATACATATTTGAACATTTTAAGACCAAAAAAACACAAGGTTTTAATCTACAAATAGGATACTTTGGGAAATGAAATCTTGAATATTGCATTTTAGATAACTAGTAAAATACAAATACAATTTTATTAAACAGGTGTGTTCAATAAGAACTGCATTGATTTTTTTTATTCCATGGCTGATTTTCGGTAGACACATCACTTAAGCATTAGGCTCATTTATAATAATTCTGGAATGCAAATGAAGCCCAAGGAGTAGTTTACACAGAAATATTGTAATTGTATATGTTGACTTTATTATTTGAATGTCTGTTTCCTGGTTGTCTTTTGAACTTATTAATTTAGATAATTTCAAATTATTTCATGTCTTTAGCTCCTATTGTTTTATATTGTCATACATAACAATTGTTTTTACTGTATTAGCAAATGTGATGTGTTCTTACAACTTCAGGCAGAATGATTACCTGATATGGTGCTGTGATATCATTACATTCTTGTAGTCAAGTAATGAGGTACAAAGAATTCTCAAAATAGATTTATTACCCTTTACCTTATTGAGATAGTTATCAGTGACAGATAATAAGAGAACATAGATAGAAGGTGTGATATAGGGAGGCATATATGTATGTTACAGCTCTAAGAATGTTGAGATCCTCCATGCAAAGCGCTAACTGTAAGTGTACAAATGTCAAAATAGATAAACCACATAAATGAAAGTTAATCAGTTTCTCAAGATTAACATTCTAGTTTCTAAGTTATGTTTCTGATTAGCTTTAAAATATCATGTGTGACAGAATTAAATGATAGAAATCATATATAGTAATACAGAAAAATAATGACATCCTTTCTACTGGCTTCTGAGTTTTCATGTAGTAAGACACACATGAAGCTTGAAGAAGTGAAGAGAAGACATCCTAAAGTCTACTATTATTAACAGGATAAGCCACAAATATTGGAAGGAATCAAAGTATAGAATTTAGAGATATTAGATGATGAATAAACATGGAAAAATTCACTTATAAATCAAGTGATAAAAAAGGAATTGCTTGGTTTGTGAAACAGTGAGCTCAACATCAAGACCATTTTCAATAATTTTGCAGTTCAAATGATTATAGAACTTCCAAAGTTTTAACAAGAGGGGTTGGGGTAAAAAGAGATAAGGACAGATTAACCTGTGCAGAGGTATATGGTCCTACTACATCTCTGCCTCCTTGCCCTCTCTCTGAATAAGGTATTTTTTTCATGCTGTCTTTTTATAATAACCTCTTCTCTCTTAATAGTTTCTATTAGCAACATCCGACACATGATTCTCAAATCCTTCAAACCCTTTCTGTTCCTTATCAAGTGCCTCAGTCACATACTCTGTGGTGCTGATACCTACCAAATAATCACATACTAATAGTTCACTGGAGTAGATTCTTTATATTTATATGAAATTAATTTAATTTATATTTTCCTTTTTACAACAGCTCAATGAAGCAAGTATTCAGGTAATTTTACATGTAATGAAATGGAAACAAATGATTGTGTGGAGGGCAAGATTATAAACTAAATGGTAGAGACAAGAATTTACATTCATGTCAGTTCAGTTGTATAGCACAGTATCTTCATTCGAGTATCTTCTGGCATTTCAAATGAAATTGGTATTCTACAACACAAACATTATCTTCCTTTTATTCTTCATTTGCCACCACTACCAACAATTTCCATATAATTCTCTCAAGTTTGGATTCACCTATGGATATTTAAACCATTTATCGGCATGTGCATCGTGAAAAGATCCTAGCAATTATATTTTCTTTTGATTGTCTTAATTTTAGACAGGGTACTTACTTGCTAGATTTAAACCTGAGCTGTAACCTACTTTTCTTCTAGCCTATTACATATCCACAGTACTACTATGTGCAAATGTTTTCTTCCTTTCAATGGTTTTAAATTTCTCCAAGTTATAGCTTTTTTCTCTTAAATATGGCTCTCAGATATGAGTTTATATTAAACACACCTAAAAAGCTTGCTTTTCAATGACAAACTGTTGAATTTTCCTCCAGAGATTCTGATCCAGTAGTTGTTAGGTATGAGCCTAATAATTTGCTGTGCTTTCTAAATTGAAGTTTCCATATGATATTGATGCTACTTGCTTTTGGTCTGTGGAAATCATACTTTGAAAACTGTTATAAAAAATGATGAGATCCCTGGAGTTAGTGATTTGCCAATGTCTACAGTATTTTATATGCATTTAAGACCAGACATAATAACATAAATCAATATTTACTGAGTGCCTTACAGTATACTTATAATGGCAAATGCAGCATAATCTGTGGAGCATTAATGAACATAATGACCACAGGATGAAATGAACAGGTAAACAAATACTTAGACTAAAATGAAGGAAATAATTCATTAGAACAAGTACAAGGTATGTAGGAGAAGCATCTCACCCCTGCAAAAAACAAGGGGGCAATCC